TGCTCTTATCTCTCCCTGCACAAGGTCCTTTGGCAATAATAATACTAATTATCATGTGTTGGGCAGTCTCCTGGTGTCAGTCCTTATTGTTTCTTTACACTTTTATTTTAAATCCTAAGTCCAATGAGCTAATGATTATCCCCAGTATAGATGAAACAGATTCAGAAACTTCCAAGCTGGTTCCTCTTAAGCCTTCCTCACTCTTTCTATAGCCTGTAATTCTTTTTCTTATTACTAAAAATCTGGTTGTAGAGAAGGTTAAACTTTAGCCCAATTCTCTCCATTCCTTGAAGACAAACCCACAACTTTTTCCATTTTAAGGGCTTTAGAGCCAGTCCACAATAGCAGAGCTCTCTGTAGGCACATAAATAAGAGTCAGGTGTATTTGAACATATTTTTAAAGCACTCTGGGGGGTCTTGGCCAAAGGACAATAGAAAGAATTAAAGGAAAAGTGGTAAAGATTATTGTGGCTATTTGACTGCATATTTTAGAAAAACTCAAAAGGGAGCCAATTCAAGCTTAATAGGACAAGTAAGTGAACAGTCTTATACTGTATACCGAAAATAAAAAGTAGAAATTTTAGTAAAAAAGAAAAAAATTCCTTCACCATTGCTAAACTTAACAAAGTGTACACTTAAAAAACACTCAAGCTGTATTTGAAGAAAACCGTGAAACACAACGTCTGAATAAATGAACATGCACACTAATTTTATGAATAGGACAATAGTCTTATAAAGACGTTCATCTCATCTGAATTAATTCATATATTTGCTGAAATTCCAACCAAGTTCACAGAGAATTTTTGTAATTGAATTTAATAATTTTATTCTAAATTTTATCTACATTAGTAATTGTATGATAGAAAATGAGCTGTGGAAAAGAAAAATGAGGGAGTAGAGGAAACATATCCTACCAGATATAAAATATATAGTCGATTTTTCCTTCCTTATTAATATTGTGTATACTGAGCAGGCATAAAACATTTGACCAATAAACATATTGTGGAACAGAAACATATCCTAGTATTTATGAAAATTTAATATATGACAAAGGTGGAATGTATCACTTAACAAAAGATATGGAACAATTGTCATAAAAGTCTGAGATTAGAACCTAGCATTTCCCT